GCGTGCATTTCCTGTTCGGAAAGTGGCAATGTACTGAGAGTGGAGGTGTCCTGAGATTAGCGCCTGCAGGCAGGCTCCATGGACCTGTCAGCTCCGGACTGCGCAAAATGCGTACATGAAGCGCTACGTCATGAACGCAATAAATCTACCCTCGTGGGGGCGCGCTCATGTGATTGGCTTAGAATTGAGGAGACATCTGATTGGCTATAGATAGAAAAAATTACAAGTACGAATCGGCTGACCGTCAGGGGAGTCTCAAAAAACCCACACACGAATGCACAGCGATCCTTGGACAGAAAGCGGTTTGTGTTTGCAGGTTCAGAGGTTTGAAACGGAAAACAAATGTGTGGATCAAAAATACACATTAAAAACTTTTTTCTGTATTTGGATTTTATTTACATGTATATGAAACGGAACACATTTGTGTGTGCATTGAAAAACACAAGTGTGAATCCTTTTGCGGATCATGAAATACAAGTTTGAATCCTTCTGTGTGCATGTGTGTATTATTAGACTGTTCTGAGCCCATACTCCAGCTAACAGGAAGTCACTCAAGTGTCACAAAGTAATTTAGCCTATGGGTAGGTAAAAAATCTAATGGGTGCTGGCAATTGGCCTAATCATATCACCTGTGTTGGCTTTATGTCTTTGGTCAAAAATATGTTTGTTTCACATTTGCATTGATGTAATCAATAATTTTTCTAATTTCATTTAATAAAAATAATAATAATAATTTTGGAAAAAAAACAAAAACACATATTTCTTGGTGGTGCTTAGGGGGTGCTTCAGTATTTCATGTCAAGACGAAGATGGCTGAACTGTTCAGTGTCAATCCTGTGGAGATGGAGGTTATAAATCTCCAAAATCATGTTCAGCTTAAGTCTCTGCAAAACTCACAACATTTTCTGGAGCCTTGTAGACCCAGAAAACTATAAAAACATCACCAAGCAGCACTGAACATGTCTGCTTTATTTGGCTCTACAGTCTACATACCTTTGTGAAGCAGCTTTTTCTGACATGAATGTCATGAAATCTAAATACAGAACAAGACTGACTGATGAACATTTAGGTTAGGTTATTAGAGTGAACCTAAGTGGGTACACTCCAGCATACACCTCTGGACTCAATGCAGTGCCAGTCCTCTCACTAACTGTAAAAAAGAGTGAATGCCACTTACTTTACACATGTGCCATAAGATGTTTGTAGGGTGATGTATTTACTACGTGGGCCATAATCAGAAGTGAACATTTTTTCTTGGACATTTATGTCAATTTTCAGTGATGTACTTACTACGTGGGCCATAGTAATATGTGAGAAATTGTCGTTTTCTTGGACCTGATGTGAAGTTAAGATTTTTGATAAGCTTTGGGTATTGCAATTTCACACGTATACAAAAGTAGCTTAATTCAACTGATGAGGGCTATGTGAATAAATGTAAGCGATGTGATGCAAGTAGCTCTTGGCCACTTTCATTTTTCAAAGTATATAGTTCTCAGATGAAGAAAGGTTGGAGACCCCTGTTCTAATCTCCTCTCGAATATCAGTTTTTATTTGAGAAGCTATATTAACTGATATAAATGTATGAGTTATACATTGGAGTTCTTTGGTATGTGGTGCAGATTTATTTAACCTATTTCCCTCAGTTTTAGAGTTTTAAAAAATCAACTATACCAAAGAAAAAATGAATTTATGTTGCAATGATTGACACACTCTTGCCTCTAAACTCTAAATTATTAACCAGCATCAACAGGTGGGACAAACAGCCAAAACTTATAGTGAAGACAACCAAAAAACAACGTGTTTGAGATATAAAAACACAAGACATTTTCAAGTCTTCTTTGCACATAGACAGCCTGGATTATTTTGAAATGCTGCCTTTCTATTTCAATGTGCCAAAAAAAAAAAAAAAATGACGAGTCTGCCTATAACATAACTCTTGAATTGTCGGTTTGTCATGTGGAGAACAAAAATAATAGCACAAGCACTGTACCCTGTGATGATTGAGTGATGAAGTCCCACCTAACACACAGGATGCATGTATGCCCCTGCTGGCCGAGAATCGATGCTTGTCACAGCTTTCTCCCTTGTGTCAAACTCTCTGCTGAGAGAAACATAGAATAAATGTTCCTTTAAGGCTAATGGTCCAATCTTTTTTATAATAGGAAAGTGCCTGCATTTCAAGCTGAGGTGTCCCTTATGAAGGCGTTAGCTCCAGTGGAGATGGTGGTAGTAACAGCTTGGGATGACTGTGCAGCAGGGAGTTACACTGCACTTAAAAGCACGTGTTATTTGATTGATTGTGAAATTAGGCCAATCAAGCTGTTACATGCAATGTAGCGGGCAAAAGGGGACACAATCAGTCTTTTATTCTTAATGAGGACATTCTGTTGGTTTCTTGAGGCTTTCCAAATGTTTTTTCAGTGTTAGGGTGGATGATTCAGATGTAATAAACAAGTTTACTGCTCAAATATTTAGGATAAAGTGTCAAAATCCACTTGGAGGAACTTGCTTTGGGTCTTTTAATCGTACAGTATGTCAGGCGAACACACAATCTATTTTCCAAATGCATAACACAATTCATGATGTATGGGAAGATTTTTTCAGACTGTAATTGATGACTGTGGGGGAAACTTCTGAAGCAATTGGAGTCAGGACTCAAAGAGAGACACGAAGGAGAGCTGGAGCTTTGATGGCAAACACTGACGGTTTATTCGGAGCTTCGGCTGGAGGATTCACAAGACATGTCATGGGTCACAATCTGACCACACGGTTGAGATGCCACAATCAATTCTGAAGAACTCTACCCAAGCCCCATGTATTTAGCTAGTTGTGAGAGAATAATCAACATTCTGAATAACAAGATAGAATCATAACACCTCTATCAGCTGACGCCAACAGGCAGGAACAGGGAGACAAAACACTGAGAGCACAGCAGCCAAGGTTGCAGGTGCGTGTGCTCAGTCCGGACCTCAGGACAGTATGAACTGATACACTGGGTCAAACTTATGTGCCTTGGGAAATATTTCCCCAACAATGACAATTTTGAGATACTTGTACCATTTCCTGGTACTTCTTAGAAGCAGATATATTATTTTTGACATGTGCATTGCATTTTATTTAACAACTTAAGATTCTTTAAAGATTCAGATTGATATTACAAAATATACTCAACAAATATCACATTGTGTATTATAATACCTTTAAATACGCTTCATGGATCCCTTGGTAAAAATCACAAGCTACTGTCCTTATTAAAACTTATAAAATGCAACAATATAATATATGTGTTTCTAATAAAGGCTTTGTGA